GAATATCCATATGGAATGTCACCTATTTTAACTTCTATCAGCAAATTTCATTAATTTTGACAAAAAATTTAATCATCGTTTAATACCTTTACTAGCGGTCATGTTTGTCATTAAAATCGCAATGTGTTTCATCTACTTCAAGTTTTCCTGGCAGATTTTTAAATTGAATTGACGATTTTAATTGTCGATCGAAATTTTTTCCCGACGAACAAATCTACCGCTAAAAGTATTAAAAGTGTCACTTATTTCAATCTTTTTTTGGTGGAAATTGAACTTTAAATGACGGTTTGGAGTGCTGGCCTAAGTATGTTTTGGCTGGCGGTCTACACATCTGCCGGCCAAAGGTACCACGACACTGGATTATACGACGCTCACATGATTGTCATCCATCCATCGGGATTTCCTTAGCCCGACGGTTTTGTTCACTTTGGCCGGCGGTTCAGATCGCTGGCTAAAAGCTTATTTCTTGTAGTGCTCCCCTAATAGACCTCCCCCTTGTTCTACCATCCCTATCAGACATTCCACTTGTACTATCATGTGGTTCTCTTGATGATGACCTAACTTGATAAGTTGTTGAAATGTGATGGGGCATGTATGATTCAGCAACAACATGTATAGAAATATCCCCTCTCCGGTGGTAAGACTTTCCTTCTTGCAGTTTGGGCAAGATCATGCTCAACAACAAACCTCTGTACCTACAATTCAAATACCCTACTTAGTACATAATACACAAATAAAATACCCTTCATAAGTTCATTTGTGTTGAGTCTTGTGTGATTTTACCACTAGAGTCTCTCTGTTCATATTCTGAGGAGGGGCTCTGTAATTCATTCTATTGTGCCCTGTTATACCACAAAGTGAACAATTGATTGTCTTACGTTCTAGTGGGGAACAATATAATGGAGCTGCTTCATCCTCTTCTCCTCTTCTTCTGGTTGGGGGTCGGCCTGGTCTCCTCCTCACTATGGGAGGTCTAATTGGGTGGTGTTGCACTTTTTGCTAGTATTTCTATTCCAAGAAAGCATGAATAAAATGATTGTACACCTTTGCATACATTGCCTTGTGGAAGGCCTTGTTACATAGGTCCTCCACCCAACCTCTTGTAAAACTAAGCACTACAAGTACATGAGCATAAGGTAGGCCACTTATATCCCAAACCTTACATATGAATGACATTACATCCATCTTGGTGGCATTCTCAACCAAGCTATTTCTTAGTGCTTGATACTCATATTGTCCTGATTGGAAAACCCTAACAGACCTGTTAATGCATTACACAATAAATACATGTACAACGAACTACTCAAGCTAACAACATAATAAGTATATGGGCAATAAATATCACCTAGCTTCCTTTCTTCTCTTGTCAATGATTGCTTGCACCTTTGGCAACAGATCAAACTTAGTTGCAATGGATGCCTTGTTTCTATAATAAATCTTCTGCATCCATCTTTTCCTTATGTCCTCCAACATTTCAATAATAGGCATTACTCTAGCCTCCCCAATCCATGCATTAAATGACTTTATCCAGTTGTTTGTTATGTCATTAGACATAACTAATGGGTAAAACCCATGCCTGGACCATGTGTCGGGGGGATTCTACTAAGCCATTGGTATATGATTTCCTAGCAGCCCATACAGCATCCTTTAATGCCTTCCCCTTGAAGAGATTTTTGAAGTTGCTACATAAATGTCGTAGGCAGAACCTATGATTTGCACCAAGCATGCAACATGATACTACTTCAACAATGCCCTATAAACAAACATTACATTTATTAGTGCTATTTGTAATCAAAACAAAGGAAATTATGCATTAATTACAAACAGCTATATACATACATGCTACCTATCTGACATAAATGTCCACCTATGCGAGTAATCAATACCCAAATCATCTCTTAACTCAACCAAAAACCATGTCTAATTGTCCCTGCTTTTAGCTTCCACCACAGAATATGCAATAGGAAAGATGGCATTATTGCCATCAATCCCTACAACTGTGAGTATTATACTCCCTATTGCACCAGTCTTGGTGTGGCAACCATCCAGTCCAATAATCTTTCTGCAACCATCCAAGAACCCATCCTTTGGTCCTGCAAGGCATATGAAGACTCTCTTGAAAATCCCATATGTGTCTTCTTCTGAGGCAAGTGGGGCATGTAGTTTCACAATAGACCTAGGGTTGCTTGCAAGTAAGATGTACAATACTGAGGGAGTACTGCATACGAATCTGCCAATGAACCCCTGATCCTATCAACAACCTTAAGCTTAGCCCTATGTATTTTCCTCCAAGTGACATCTATCCCAAACATTCTCCTAATTTCAGACCTAAGCACATTGCTTGACATGGTAGGATCAGCCCATAACAATCCTTCAATTTATGTTGACAGCCATGGATTTGTTGCCTCCCTATTTGTAGTCACCCTGATACAACTATGTGTATTATTGAGGGTCTTTACTATGAAGTTGCCTCAATTATGGCTAAGGGATGCATGAATCCTCTAGCTACAGTAAACCTACACTTCTCATTTTTCTTTCTTTTGATCTTTATACCCTCCACCACATAATACTGTCTCAATGTTTGCTTAAACTCTTTCACATTGGTAAACTCCATACTAACCCGAAATCTTGATTTGGAAAAGTCAAAATCCCTTTATTTCCCCTTTCCCTTGGACTACCATACTCACTGATAGGCTCATATTCAAACAAATCATCACCACCACCATCATGTACATGAAGGGATGAGAGGTCCATCACATGGATGGCCGAACCTGCAGAAAGGTAGGGCGAAATTTCAAAAATTTCACTCTCTCCCATCTGGGAATCGCATTCCCTATTTTAAAAAACTGCATTTTCAATGATCAATCTTGAACCAAACCAACCAGATCTGAAAGCAAAAGGGAGGAGAGGGATATACCTGATATGAAGTAGTAGTAACTCCCAATGAAGGTGTTCACGCCCAAGGAGAAAAACAAAACTTGTTTCCATTGAAGATGACACAGTGTGTGGTGAAGTATGATCAGTAGAATAACTCTTTAGCAAGAACCGAATTCTTCAACAAGAATGGAGTAGAGGGCTGGTGAGCACGACTTCAGATTGCTTCTTCTACCAATAAGCAATATCAAGAATAATTCTTAATCACTCCCACAAGTGGAGATTGAACTGGGTAGGGGTGGCAAGAACAGGGAAAAACTCTACAGATTGTTGTGTTCTGTAACTAAGGAATTCACCCCCTTTATTTATAGCCTTCTCAGCCTCCTAATTCAATTAGGAGAGAGTTCCTTAATTCTGTACTTTATATATTTACAATAAATGTCAAAAGATACATCAATCTGATTGGAACTAAGGGCATACACAGTCTAATAGTACACCCTCATTACCACCATCCTGTACACCCTTATTATCACCATCCCCACCATCATCATCCGAATAATCCTCACCATCATCATGCAAACCCTCAAATTCCCCATCATCAACATCATGATGACCATCTAGCTCCTCATCATTGCCATAGCTATGATCATCTACACCTCCTTCATCATCAACTACATAACAATCAACATCATCATCATGATCTTGCAATTGTTCATTTCCCTTGCCATTGCACCCATCATCCACATTAACACACTTGGCTTCGGTATAAGTAATATAGAACATTATCTCATAGAGGTTCCCGTGGATGGCAAACATTATCATCACATTAGTTTCACAGCCAAGAACACCTAAATTCTCATCTAAATCACATCCTGGTACCTTGTAGTTGATAGTCACCATGATTTCAGGAGGTATAATAACCAATGAACAGAAGCCATTCAATATGTCTAGATAGCATATTCTATCACTACCCACATTATCCACATATCCAACTTGACCATTTACATATGATAACTTTCCATCTATGGTCTTCCAATGACCACCATAATTGATGATGAACATGTATCTACTCCCATCCATCACCTACATCATAGATAGGGACAAATATAATTACGACATAAGCTACACCATAAGCTATACAATAAGCTACATAATAAGCTACACTATAATCTACAAAATAAGCTACACTACAACCTACACCATAAGCTACACTATGAGCTAGAACATATAAGCATACACAAGTTAAAACATAAGCTAAATTTCCCATCTATAACATTCCAATCATGGGCCCTACATTTATTTACTGGTATTGATAATTTCATGTTGAAATAGTGTTTCAGACATTTTGTCAAGCACCTGGACTCATGTGTGGATCCCATGTGTATGAATTAAAGCAGACACATGGGTTTCAACACACCACATATACCCAGATCTATGAGTGGTCCCTTAAAACCTAGCTATCTACCTCAATTCCATGTACCTGGATTTGTCAATGAATCCTTGTGAGTGGTCCCCAAAAACCTAGTTAAAAAACACATAAAATGCTGGACCATATATCTATGATGACAGAAAACAAATCCTTTTAATATTCAAATCCCACTACAAAACAGTAAAAAGTTGTAAGAAAAAATCCTAAGAACTAGCTCAGAGAGATGACAAATGTCATCCTTCCATCAAAAAACATGACGAAAACGCATGGGTTTTCATACAAACTTGTTGTGCACCGCCGTACCACTTGCTGGAGTTTGCAGTGGAAGTCGTGGAAGATGATTGTGGATCTTCTCCGCTGGAACGTTGATATTCTTCTCCCTTGGAATGATGATAAACAGCGTTTGGGTGAGAATAATCACAAAATCGATCCCTCATTAAGGAAGGGTAAAAACATAATTTGCAAAATGGATGCAAAATGGGTTCGATCTGAGTGAGAGTTAACGGAAGGGTAAAAATGTAAAATCAACTTTTCTGTCCCGATTTAACGACGATGACAAATGTCAAAAAACTTATGGGTACTGAAAGACAATAGCTAAACAACAAGGGTACCGCGTGTCAATACACTAAAAAATAACTTAAACAAGACAGAAATTGAAGACAGATAAAGATGAAAGACAAATAAAAGACTCATTACAGAAATATAATATTTCATCTTAGCGAGGGTACAAGATGGAACTGGTTGAAGCAACAGTAGCAACAGAAAACGCATCAATGGATGGTGAACGTGCATTCGTTACAGGGTTATGATAAGTGGGCACAGGCATCTTAGATGGGAGAATAGGCAATGGAGCTTCAAAACTTAGGACTTGCATTGCTTTCTTTATGGAGGGTCGAAGGTTGCTATCTGGGTGAGCGCACCATAGACCAACAGCCATCAAACACTCCATCTGTTTCACATCAAAACCTGTATTCATGAGTCTCCAATCCACAGCTTCAAGAAGGCATCCTTTTCCATACAACTCCCAGACCCACTCTACCAACCTTATCTTGCTTCCTTCTAACACTATCTCAGCAGACCGCCTACAACAAGCAATTTCCAAAACAACAATTCCATAGCTGTAGACATCTGACTCCTTACTCGACCTCCCAGTTATAACACATTCAGGAGCCATGTAACCCAAAGTGCCAGCCAATACAGTTGTTTGAGGACCTTGATCATGTTCTATAAGCCTGGCGAGCCCAAAATCTCCTAATTTTGCATTGAAGTTGGAATCCAACATTACATTACTGGGTTTAATATCTCTATGCACCACACACTGTTTCCATTCTTCATGCAAATAGAACAATGCAGAGGCCAACTCTAGAGCAATCTTGTATCTTATCTCCCATACCAACAATCCCTTCTGTCCAAAGAGATATTTATCAAGGCTTCCATTGGACATGAACTCGTATACAAGAAGAAATTCTTTTCTTTGGTGACACCAACCAATAAGTTGTACCAAGTTTTTGTGCCGTAATTGACTAATAATCTTTACCTCCGACATATACTCCTTTATCCCCTGTTTAGACCTTTGGGATACCTTCTTGACAGCAACATCCATGTTGAGATCAGTTAAAAAACCTTTATAAACCCCTCCAAATCCTCCTTCTCCAAGCTTTTGTTCTTCTCTAAAGTCATTTGTCGCTCTAGCCAATTCACCACACAAGAACCTCTTGGGTCCAGTTCCCTTCTCAAATTCATCATTCATAAAATCATCAAGGGTCGAGTCATCCTCTTTTTCCATTCTTTCTCTCTTCATCTTCGTCCACAAGACAAAACAAAGAAACCCCATGGCACCCATTAGGAAACTTGTACCAACAACAATGCCAACCATCATTGCTTTCCTCACATTACTCGTCGTAGCCGGATTCGATTCCTCGACCTCCAAACTCGAATTAAACTCCCAGGAGTAAATTTGATGTCGCAAGCCTGAGAGACCTGTAGAACCAGAGAGCCCAATAGTAATCCATTCTGGTAAGTATTGCCTCAGATCAATTCTGTAAGAAAGGCTAGAAGATGAATTATCACCATAGGTCCATGAAACACTTAGGTTTTTTGTACTGGAATTGTAGCTAATCCAAGTGCTAGTTGTTTTCCCATACTCAATACTATTAGTCCATGTAGCAGTTTTCACAGAATCAATAGAGTTGACATCAATTCCTACATGATACGGTGGGTCTTCAAAACTTGGATTTCTTGGGCCTTCAGAAGTATGATTGTATGGCACCGGGTCCCAATCATTTCCCCAAGTATCAAACTCTACGGCAATAATACGATTCTTTGTCTTGTTTAGTGCAAGATCGTTGCTGAAAAGACCAAGGGCGCCACCTCCTGAGTCATGAGGGATGGTGGAACCGTTGGGAGCAAGGAATAGAGCCAAGCCATCAGCAATAGTACGGGAACCGTTCATCCGATTAAGGGTGAAAGAAAAATGTGTGGTGAAGTCCGTGAGGATTCCAGTTTTGTTGTCCCAAAGACGTACCGGATCCTTGTACGAAGCTCTGCCGCTGCTGTATTGTGTGGAGCCGCTTGCTGATGAGAATTCGGTGAGTTCAATCGTGCCTTGATCTGAGAAGGTTGCATCACGTTCCAAGTTTATGATGTCTCGCGTTGTGCGGTTAGAACTGGAGAAGTTGAAAGACAATGGATTTACAGAAGGGATTAGCAAGAAAAAGAAGATTGAGACATGAACATGGAAAGGAAACTTTAGATACTTGAGAAACAAGTTTGATGAATTGCAGGGAGAGACATTAATCTCCATGGTGAATTCCATGAACATGGAATGGAAGCCGATTTGGACATTTCAGAAAAGAGTGTGCACCGATCGAGATTGGAGTTCTTTGTTGTTATATAGGATTATCCGTAGCTGATCCGCATGTAATCTCCACACTTGCATTTTTCTCTCCATTCCTTTCCATGTTGACAGAATTTTCATAATTTTTAAATTTTTTATGATGCCGTGGAAGACGGGCTGACTTTACTTTGCTTTCCTGGCAAGTCGCGATGGTAGCTACGTGGAAAATGAAAATCATTGACCCTATTTGGTCTTCTCCCCACCCCACTAATTCCCCTTCTACTTCCCACCCACTCCACTAATTCCTATGACACGATGGACTACAAACTCAACCACATTCCCTCTCCCACTCCTAATTCATCATAGGAATTCCACCCCTCCACTTAACTACACAAAGCTTATACATAAATTAGTCGTGACAGAGAATCGATTGGAATGTGGAGAGAGACAATCTTCTCCTACATACAAATCATCAATTGTTCCTACATCCCCATCCACATGATACTACCATGGTGAATTGGGAACAACTCCTCGTGAATGACAAGGGAGAAATTCCAATACAAACTTATAGTTTTGTGTAGATAGGGATGTGAAAGATTTTGTGGATAGGAGATCCAATTAAACCTAGAGAGAATTGATATATATAGAGAGAGAGAGAGGGGAGGGAAAAAGACATTAAAATTATGCTTTGTTGGGCATGTAAGAAAGATGAGGAGATATTTTAAGAGAAAGTTTTAAGTGGGATAAAGAGTTTAGGAGATGAGATGATTTGGGGGGGGGATGTGAGGGAGGAGATTGGATATACTCCTCACATAAGGCGCCTCACACCAACCTCACAGGTACATCCTACCATACATGAGAACATCTCCTGTACTCAAAAGTTATTATTCAGGGAAGATGTTCCCAATGCATGGTGGATGTGCCTGTGAGGCGCCCATGTGTGAAGCAGATCCCATTCGATGTGTGTGTGTGAGAGAGAAAAAGATTTTAGAAAGACTTTTATGATTTGATTTGTTGAAAAAAAGGATGGCATGACCTTATAATATTAACCCCTAATGACTTGACTTGGTTGGAAGGATGAATGGAGAAAGGAAAGCAAGGGTGACGTGAACAATCTTATTTTATAAATATAGCATAGATTCAAGAAAAATATAAAAATTATATGTAAGTACATAGAAAATAGATAATAAAACAAAAATCATAGAAGAATATAAAAATCACTTTTTCAAACCTCAAACTCTACTCTAGTTAAGGGGTGGCCCTCAAAAATTTTTTAATATAGAAAACAAAGCTAGTAGTGGGGCATAGAAACTTATCCCTTGGAAAATCCATATAAGAGAATTTTGGCTCATAATGAATAATAGAAAAGGTTCGAAATATCCCTAAAAATTTTATGTTATGGAAAGTAAGTCTAATCTTGTTGGGTTAAAATGCATGAATTATGAATGTCCAAACTCGGAGAGGTGTCACATCTTTAGGCCATAGCCCCCCACCATTCACAAAAATGGCAACTTTAACTTTCTCAAAAAAGCATCTCAAAAGTTGGTTGTTTACATTTTCAAAGAGAAGACCCACTCCTCATATACATAAATTGCTTTTAACTGCATTTAACATGTGGCACTCTAACACAGGTGTCATAATACATTAAATAATAGTTCTTTAGAAATACATGAGAAGTGGGAAGCTCCCATTCTCATCCATTCCTAAAAAAATGTAGGAAATGTAGAAGTGATTCTCTGCCTATAACTACTTCGGTGTACTGCAATTTCAATAGTTTTTTTTTTTTTTTTGAAGTCTTAATATTTCATTCATTCAAGACAATGATACAAAGAGATGCCAACAAGGCCAATTAAAGTGCAAAGACAAATCTCAAGAAAAACAAAATAAAAAGATGGATGTAGGAGAATCAAAAGAACTTCTGCAACCTACAATTGAAGCAGTGTGATTTAAAATCACCAACAGAAGTGGATAAGTACATCTCCAAACCACCATAACTGGCGAGCACAACTGACAAGGCAGGTTTCCAAAGTCATAAGCCAAGATTTGTTACTTCTGCCCACTCCGAACCAACCCACAAAGAAGTTAGAACTATAACTGTCAACCAGCACATCGGAACAATTGTTATTGCCATCCTGGACGCTGGAGAACTAAAGCTACCTTCTAAAACACTGGGAACAGTAATGCAAGTGGCAGCTTCCATCGGTGGTTAATGCAGAAAGGATTCTAGAGAAGAAACTCCCAATCAAAATGCCCGTAGAAAGATATATGGGAACCTAGGGAGAACAAAGGGGAATAGGGGTGAACTAAAAGGAGAACAAACAGAGAACAAAATGAACAGAATGAAAGGGCAAACGAATAAAATGAAAAGAGAAAATCAATAGAGAACAAATGAAACGAATAACAAGCGAACATAGCAACAAAAGAAATTAAACAAAGAGAAAAGGAAAAAAAAGAAAAAAAAAACTCAAGAGTTCTCGAGAGAGAGCCTCCCTAGAAACAAAGATAAAAAGAAGAAAAAAAAGAGGGGTGACTAACCTCCTATCCGGCGAAACGGTTTCGCAAGTGTAGAGATCAGATAGTAGCGATTTCCAGATAGGTCTTTCAATAGTTAGTTTTATTTGAATTTCAAATATAAATATAATTATTAGACAAATAGAGAAACTCAAATAAAATAATATTATTATAAAAAACAAAAAAAAAAGAGTAAAAACCAAAATGATGCATATGTGTGACTGCCTCATAATGGAGTCACATACTAGATAAAATATGGTAAGTTTCTTAAGCCAAATAAAAATCGATTAGAACAACAAATGAAAAATCTTACCTAAAGTTTTAATATAAATGATTTAAAAAAATTGGAAATTTAAAAATAGTTCATATTAGTGGCCTTGTACTAAGTACATGAGTCATGCCTAGTAATAATTATTAAGAGAATCTGCTACTGCATCTACGTTGCCCTCCCGAAAGAAGTGTTCTATACACCAAAACAATAAACTCTCAAGCAAGATGATGATGTTAAACATGGTATACCATAACTGCCAATGACAATCTATAAAACTATGCATAATGTCTATCAACACTTCGAAGTCAATGTATATGAGCAACTTATTACTATTTGGGATCTGTTCCTTACACATCCCACTATGAATTGGGAACATCTCCCATAAATAATAACATATAAGTATGAAAAATGTTTCCAATGCACAATGAGATCTGCCTGTGAGGTCAGTGTGAGGTAGGGGTGGATTTGAGCTGAGCCGAGCTAAATAGTACCAGGTTCGAGCTCAGCTCGAAACTATTCTACAGGGCTCAAGCTTGAGATCGAGCTCAATTCAAGCCACAACCTTGAGCTCGAGCTCGGCTCGAGTAAAAAAAATCATAAGCTCAAGCTCGGCTTGGCTCAACTCAAGCTCGATTTTGAGAAAAAAATATTTTATAAAAATAAAAATTATATATAAAAAAATTATTTTATATTTTAAATTAAGAATTATACTATTTATATTATATATTTTCTATAATTTTATTATATATATATATATATATATATTAAATATCAAATATATATATAGTAGGCTCAAGCTCAAACTCGGTTAAAATCAAGCCGAGCCGAGCTCAAGCAGCTCGTAAAAAGCTCAGCTCATTGCCACCCCTAATGTGAGGAGTTGATCCGGTCTCGACTATTACCATAACCCAAAGAAGCTGTGAAATTTCTAACAATAAAAGGTGTGAAACAAATCCCATCATATAAGGCCATGGCCTTGGCTTTAATGTTCATCCTTATCCCATAGAAATGAGAAGAACCAATAAGAAAGTCTATATGCAAATCACAAAAAAAAATTGCCTCCACTATTGATGGCTACATTGCCACACCCAGTCATTGGATGGATTTGTATAAATACCAATTGTATTCTTTGTGGTTTTTCTGTTGATAATAAATTCATTAAAAATATTAATGATGTATTAAGTATGTAATTAATATAAATAAGCTTTTCATGTCAAGTACAAGAGAATTTGAGCCCAGCCAAACTAAATATATGACTATTCCTGATGTAATCGTTTTTGGTCACGTACCAATTTTTGTGATGTATCAATTTTTTTGGCTAAGTACCTCGTCATCTGACCTGCTCCCAAGAGAGGATGGTGGATCTCCCTGGTGGTGAACTGCCTGGGGGAGAGCTATGCCGAGTTGCCCGAGCTATGCCGAGCTGGGGAGAGCTATGCCGAACTGCTCGAGCTATGCCGAGCTGGGGAGAACTATGCCGAGCTCCCTGATGGCGAATTGCCTGGGGGAGAGCTATGCCGAGCTCCCTGATGGTGAGCTACCTTGGTGGACTCGTCATTTGACCTGCTCCTAGGCGGCTTGTAACTCAGAGGGTGGTGGAACTACCTGGTGTAGCGGAACCCGATTGCCCTCTGCATGAGGTGATCTCCTCTCCTTCTCCCTGGTGGTGAACTACCTTGGTGGACTCGTCATTTGACCTGCTCCTACGCGGCTTGTAACTCAGAGGATGGTGGAGCTCCCTGGTGCAGCGCAACCCGACTGCCCTCTGCATGAGGTGATCTCCTCTCCTTCTCCCTGGTGGTGAACTGCCTTGGTGGACTCATCATTTGACATGCTCCTATGCGGCTTGTAACTCAGAGGATGGTGGAGCTCCCTGGTGTAGCGCAACCTGACTGGCCTCTGCATGAGGTGATCTCCTCTCCTTTGTAGGCGGCAGGAGCTGAGGGACCTGCGAGAACTCCATCTTTTCCTCCTCTTTGTAGGCGGCGGGAGCTGAGGAACCTGCGAGAACTGAATCAGAGGACCCGGGGGTATTTACCTGATAGGGACTCTCCGATGCCTAAGTTAGCATTCTGATTGCAGAGAGCTTGGAGAGAAATGAGAGAACTAGAGAACAGGGATTACTTCCATTTTTCCATTCTCTCCCCCTTGGCTTTGGGGGTCGGAGTCCTTATATAGGAGTGCC